TGTACCAGAATGCAAGAAAATAATTGTCGGCCTAATAACAACAGAGTGCCGGTTTAACTTTGAGTTATAAAAACCATTTACGAGTTACCCATGCCCAAAATCTGTAAGACGCCTGATAAGGGCACCGCAGGATAATTCGCTGGTTAATTGTGGCGTACCATATACCCGATGGAAATGCCGAGTACATTCACCGGTAGATGAGTCTCTTCCGGCATTACATATTTATTGGGATGCGAGGATCACGGTCGTCGTCCGCGTAAACGGAGCCGGGGCTGGGAACGCCCTCGTTAGCGCAAAAGGGTGGCTCCGAGGAGACGGAACGAGGGTAAAGGAAAGGCGGGTGTGGTATCTCTTACGAGACGGTCATTAGTCGAATGAGCGTAGGTATTTCGAAGAGTGTGCGCAAATATCCGTGGAGCTCGTCATCGATCATCGTGCCGCGGTCGCACAAATTACGTATCGTCTTACGCCCTCGTTCGGCCTCCTCTAGCTCTCGAGCCGGGTTAAAAAAAGAGCCCTCGACGCCTTTCCGGGGAAACGAAAACCCTGACGGTTCGTCTCGAGGAAAGGTACACCCTCGATTGGGTGTCCTCCGATTAATAAGGGCGCGTCCACGCACGATTGATCGCCCTGAGACCTCCGGAGGTGATCTCCAAATAGCGCGCCTTGACACCCCGTCATGGTGTGTATTCAGAAGCCGAAAGGGGACAAAAAGAAATTCGGCCATTAGTTGATAAATAAGAAAGTTTCGAGACCCATTTATAAGTTCTGGCGAAAATAGATTTTTCTCTAAATTAGTGGAGAACGCGCATCCGACACCCCGCGATGGGGTGGCCTTAGAAGCCGAAAAGAGGGGCGAAAGGGGACAAACAAAAATTCGGCAAATTCAAAAATTAGTTGATAAATAAGAAAGTTTCGAGACCTAGCAAACCTGCGAAGGTATTTATAAATCTAGGAAAAATATATATATATATATATATTCTTTTAAATCATTTGGAAAACAATTCCATACCATTCTGCCTCATGGCGTGCCCTTAGAAGCCTAAAGGAATGACGAAAGAACACTATAAGAAATTTCACATTACTTCTTTTTAATCGTTTCAGAACCCCTTCAATGCTCGACCGTGCATGGGGATGAAATCGTTGAAGATAAATCATCAATTAATTATAACGAGGATATTTTTGAACTAGCGGCGGCGTAATAATTTTTTTAACAAAATTCAAATGATTCCTAGATATCGGGAGAATATTTCTGGAGTTTTCCTTTGCTTGGAAGAAGTACTTCCCGATCAATGTCCCTCGACATTGCAGCCAAAGATAGAACGAACTTCGCAGAACCATATCAGAAGGCAGAGAAAGACGGTAACGGATAGGGGTGGCCATTTTCTAATATTTGCTCGATATGCCCAGGCCAGGGGAGTGCGGGGCACGCCTAGGTGACTGTCCCTCACATTCATGTATTGACACGGAGCCGGTTGACTAATGGACCGCTGTTGTCCCAGGTTCGAGTTACCATGGGGGTTCGTCAACCCACCCCGAGACGTCCATCCCTTCGGAAGGTCTTGGACCAAATCGGAGGCGCTTCCGCGACATTATTAAGGTGATATGAAAGGTCATGCTATATATNTTTATATATGCATGCAATTGATTCGAATCATTTAAGAGACACGTGATTATGGAAGCCCTAAGGAAAAACGCGATGCTCGTGAAATCTCATTTGTCAAAGAAAATTTTCTTTTATTTGGCCAAGACTTGAACCAAAAACACATTTTTTTGGGGAAAAATGAAATTTCACGAGCATCGCCTTCTTCCTTAGGGCCTCCGTGATCACGTGTTAATGTTTGAAATTACTCAGTGCACTCAGTTTGGAGGAAAGTGGAAGAGTGGTGGTTTGGAGGATTCTTTTTTTCTATGAAAACTTGGTGTTTCATTAAGGAAAACCAAAAATGTTATAAGACGAAAAAAGTGATTTTTCAGTAAAACCAGTGCCATTTTGGTAAAAATCGGAATTTCGAAGAATCCTACGTTCATTCAGCAGTCTTTCACGTGTAGAATGAAAGTAAATTTTAAAGCCGATCGGTAAAATACTTTCTGAGATATCGTGGTCATCGCAGAAAAAAAACCTTTTCGGAGAATTGTTGTACCTCGTCAATTTTTTTAATACATCTTGACAAAAGAAAAATGATGTATTAAGTTCAATAATTGTACTATGAAATCACGCACGGTTTTCGATAAAAAAAAAAACGGATTTTAGTTATGAAAAAGAATTCCTGAATTTTGCCTATCACAACTGCATGTAACCCCTTATGTAAAAGTCCTTTCGATATTACCCACTTATCTGTTTTAGACGAGTAAACTCATCATGAAATCCCGCTTTTCAAAGAGGTCGCAACAGCTACCTGGTTAAAAGTAAAAGGATTTCAAAAAGATACGATAATGTCATGACAAAAGGAAAACCACTGAGCCATGGGAGAATAATCGCCGTAAAATTGGAAACTCCTTACACCCCTTTAGAGGAAGAGTCTTTCTCATCTTGAAGTTCCAAAAAATCCTGAATAGATATGTGGAGAAATATTAACGATTAGGCAAACCTTATCTCATCTTATCAGGGGAAGTTTGGCAAATCTGATTCAGGGAGGGGGCGTTTGTGGGGGTCCGAAGGTGCTTCTGCAGGGTGGGCGGAAGTGGGTGGGAAAGCAAGGACGCAAGTCATCAATCCCGGATCGGCACGTCCGTCGTCGATCCGTCCTTCCACCCCCGACGGGGGCGATTCGCCCCCTCCGTGCAGTTATCTGACACGTATTGTCGACGACCATATTTTACCCGCGTATATTACGCCCGCGCTGAATCCGTAATGCGACCGAGTCGATATTTGGTGTCGCGATGACGCGGGGTTGGACATCCGACACCCCGCCTGGGGGATGTTCCCATAGGATCTTCCGATTTTAGGCCGAGCTAGTTTGCTCTCACCGAAAAAAGTCTCTCTCTCTCACTTTCCTCCGATAAATCCTCCGCAAACATTTCGCCGTACACCTTCGAAAGTACGTAGTCTATACGTCACCGACGTCCGTCGATTCTTCCGCATTTTCCCCCTAGCCTAGGGATATTGCCACTTCTTATGTATGCTATCAATACTAAAAATCGATAAAAGTTTACTCATTTGCATCTGAGGCCATGACACGTATCAGATAAATGATTTTAAATGGCAAGTCGTCGAGGGACAAAGAACTATAACTACGGTCAAAGTGATCACCTCGTAATGGCGAAGAAATAATTCCACTGCAGCGACGAGGACGAGCAGGGAACGTGATAATGGTTGCACGTTGATAAGCTGCGATATATGCTGTTTCCATCTCGTGATCGCCATGGGACGATTGAACAACAAAATGGCAGTCATCGATTCCACCTTTTCATGAAAAATATGCTGACATGTTCGTTTCTTTTCATCATCTCATCAGGTTTAATGTACTAATTCATATTAGTTTGTTTTTTTGCGAATGTATGAACAAGCACCGAACTTAATTAAGTTTCATCCACACTTTTTAAGCTAGATGGTTAATAAAATTATTGTGTATTAAAATCCTGGTATATTGTACCGGAACAGATCGTCCCATATGTTTCATGAATTCATTACTATTATCTTTCAACGGTATGGTTTCAATTAATGAAAAAGAATGGAATAAACTTTCTCTTCTTGCAATATTTATACCTGAAATAAACAGCCACGTAGCACGGTGGGTTTTTCACGTCGGAATGAAACAAATGCCTTTCAATGTAACATAAGCATTTGTCTGCGAACGTAAATTTCATATGCAAAAGGAAATTTCATGGGTGTCAGGACCTTCCATAGGGCCTCCATACCCACGTGGTAAAATCTAAAAAAATTCAATACCCCCGAACAAAAGTTTCATAAAGGATAGACCCCCCAGCTACCTCCCAGTTAAAAAGAAATTATTAGCGTTTATGACGTCGTTACGGACTTTCAACGTAACATAATAATAATTACCTTTCAATGTAACATAAGCATTTGTCTGCGAACGTATTTTCAAATTTCATATGCAAAAGGAAATTTCATGGGTGTCAGGACCTTCCATAGGGCCTCCATACCCACGTGGTAAAATTTCAAAAAATCCTATACCCCCGAACAAAAGTTTCATAAAGGATAGACCCCCCAGCTACCTCCCAGTTAAAAAGAAATTATTAGCGTTTATGACGTCGTTACGGAAGCGTGCTTGCTAGGTAGAAGAGGAATCCGTGAAGACCTGCGACGACCATTAGGCCTTTCCAGGGTTCGCAGGTCCAGGAAGGGTAGTTTTCCATGGGTCGTCAAATTGCCAAGACTTTTTCCCGCGTTTCCCCTCCGCGGGTTCCATCATTTTCCCCGGGCACCAAGTACAAGTGATTCGTCTTCCTTCGGAAGGCTCGATGCGCACTTAGAGGCTTATGGACGGGTGCTTAGACCGGATCGTCGCCGAGTCCTGAGCAAGGACCATCCTCGAGGCGAGGAGACAACGGTTCCATTACTCGGCTGACGTCCGATGCAAACTCGGCTGAGTGATCACGGCCTTTGGCAGGATCCGCTGGTTTCTACCATTACTCGAAAGGGGGTTGGGGGGGTGGCGGTGGGGGTGTAGAGGTGGCGGAGGTGCCGGAGGGGGCGCATCCCAAGACGGAATAATAGGATACGCAGGATCCTCCTGTCCGTAGGACGAGACTTTATAGCGCGGTGCGTGTCTCTACAGCTTCTTGATTTATTACCGAGTTAACCCTCGGTTCGGAACCCGCTCGAGACGTTCGATATACGTCTACCGATTATTATATCGCGATTCGACGTGGCTCGAGACGGGACGGCATTAAGGGGGAGACAATCGGGAGACGTCCATCGGCCATTATTCGGTACATGGTGTACACGGTGTACACGGGATGCACCCGATGCACACGGGCTACTCGATGCACCCCGCGAAGGAAGCCCGGGATCGGGTAAGGAGATTGTCACTTACCTCGCAACTTCTGCTCGTCCTGCAGCTGCCTCTCCAGGCTGTCCTTCACCTCCCGCTCCCGCAGGACGTTCATCTTCAGTTCGGCTGCAACAGGGAAAGGGGATTTATATAGCTGGTCGCAAAACTGCCGCCGAGTTTCCTTATCTCGATATTCCACGGACAAGAAAGAGATTTGCATTCTTAACAAAGGACTGTTGTCGATGGCGTTGCTTTTTCTCCAGAAATCAGTCCGCCAATGGCAAAAGGGCTTGCAATTGCGTGAACGTTTATGGTAAGCTTTCGAAAACTTCCTTTAGGATTTTCAACTCATTTTTACTAAATTAGCATGGAAATTTCAGCCAACTGATAAAAATTAGTATTGCTATTACTACTCGACGAAATGGCGGCATGCAATTTTTTTTATCCCTGGTAAAGTATATTGCTAAAATTATGTCATTACTATAATTTACAGAATAAATGCTCTTCCTGTTGTCCATGCAGCAAGAAGGTTTTCGCAAAAGATTTCGCTGTTTCATTTCTAATTATTTCACATTCGCTGACCAAGTATAATTTATTATCACGATTGTAAATTATTTCCCTTCGTATGGTATTCGTTAGTCGAGCAATGAACATTTAACCCTTATAGTAAGAAGCTTACTTTCAAGACGCGTTTCTTTCATTTGAAATCCTTCTTCTGAAAATTTCATTTAAAATTTCATTTCGTTTGAAGTTTGAAAGTATACTTCAATTTTAACGTATATTTTCTAGTATGTAAAAAAAATTGTTATATAATTTATTGAAAAAGAAGAAAAAAAAAATGTGGGAAACCCAAAGTCTCCGGTATTTTTAAGGTTAACGGATCCATCTTATCCGATCCAGATTTGAACGAGGTCTGAAGAGTAAGTCCTTTGTTAACAACTATCCAAAGGGGATTTGAGACTTCTCGAGGTGCAACCCTTACATTTAGGGTAGTAATATTTTGCTCATGTGTGAGTGCCCCAGAGTAGTCAGTTGGTTCCATTCCGCGGGAAGGACTTTATATCGTACCAACGGACACGAGGGACAATCGTCCCAATCGAGTCCAGGGTAACCAGTGCGTTATAACGGAATCTGGCTAAGACTCCCTCGACGGCTCTCTGGCAGACCCCTTAATTTGAGAAGAGGAGCCCCCAAGAGTCGGGGGTCGAGGAGGAGGCCTAGGTGGAGGTGGCCCAGGTGGAGGTGGGCCAGGGGGCGGATGGGAATATCGCACGGTTCGCTGGGTCCGTGATTAAATCCAACGGCGATGGGCAGAGTGCGCATAGTTACCTCTAATAGAATTATATTAAGACACGGAGAACGAGAGGGAATAAGGGGGAGAGAAGGAGAGAGCTACCTAACTCGTCCCTTACACCCCCACGTGGTCGTCGCTCGCGGAACGCCCTCCACCCTAGGGAGGTAACTCTCGCTAAATTAGCCATTTCGAATCACGGCGACGAGGGTCGTTAGAAACCGACGAGGAACGAGAGACTAAGATCCAGGGACTCGCAAGTGACTTCTCCTGGAGGCGCCCTTGACCCTCCACTTTCCGGCCACCCTGGGACTTGATTTCCCTCGGCGGTACCGGAGGACCTTCACCGGAGGGTGAAGCCACTTGCAGGATTAATAACTCCATTTTTTTATGTCCTTCAGATGAAATCCCTTCTTGTCCTCTGGAGCCTTGGAACTTCCTATCATTGCTAAACCATCAGCTGACGAAGATTCGACAGGAATCGATGTTCGGGATCCTCCTCCAAAAATTTGTGGAACTTCTTTTGAGATCTTCGAGACTTGACAGTTGGGCAAGAACGAAGTTCTGTCAAGGTGTGATGGTAACCTCGCCTTCAAGGTTTCTTCCAATGATTTGAGGAGGGATTAACGTTGAAGATTTCAGGAAGTCATCGCTCGGCTTCTTAGGAGATTCTTCGTTTGGGGACGTTCTGGCAATGTGAAGCGATTGCTTTCTCAAGTGGAATGCCTGCAAGGAACCGCGCGGAAGGACCGCGCGGATCGACTGCGTTTTGGGAGGCCACTTCCGGAAATTAGAGCGGAGGCCCTCGGCGCGGAGAATTCTCTCCCTCTTTTCGCAATTCCGCCGGCAATTTGGGAACGTTTGCGAGTCCATTAACGACCGGCTAACTCTTCACGAGCGGCCGCCACGAAGATTCAATTTGAATGCTAACCAGAGCAGTAGGAAGTACGGGCTCGCGCTCGCTCTCTCGCACGCGGAATATCCTGTTATTGCCAATTTCAGAGCCAGTTTCTGCCCACTTTGCGATCGTTTAGATTATCATCTCTTGCGCACCGGCCCCTCCTTAGTCGGATCGTCCTCGAGGATCATTAAAATCCATTAAGGGACGTCATCAACGGTATCGGGGACGATCGCGCCGCCCGTTCCTCTTCCGAGACCTCGGAATTGCCAAACTCCGCCATATTGAAAAGTCCTGATTAGTCGTTTCCGAAAGAACATGGCGGAACTCGAAACGCAAAACCAACCCTCTTCGCATTTAGAGACCTGCCTTTCCACCTCTTCAAGAAAGAACAAATATCCCTACCCAAAGTTCATCAAGATCCTTTGTTCTCCATTTTTCGTTCTTCATCCTCCTCGTCCATTAACTAATGCCGCGGTGGAAAATACAGAGAAACAGTTAAATATGAAGGATCTATGAGGTAATACCACGAGAAGAGCTAATGTATGCATTTCTTATCGAGGGTCACCACCATGGTGATGGTCACATCCCAAGCGGCTGGCCTCATGCACTTGATGGTTTAGGTATCCAGTTCCTTCGTCCTTATTACCGTCTATATACCCAGATTGCAATTTTTGCTCGTAATAGGTATCACCCTTTTTTCGCACAAGTGCCATGAAGATGTTCTCAAAGATAGGGGGTGTCTTCGGGGTCTAGCTAGATCGCTCGCTGCAAATGGCCTCCCCTTCCTTCCGAGGTAAATTCACGCTTTATGGCGCGAGACGCAAGAGGAGGCTAATTGAAATAAGAATAACGCCGAGTACAGGAGACCGAGGGCTCCCGGCCATAACTGTGCATCACTTAAGAATTAGACATGGCCGTTTCCACCCCCAAGGCGCGGCCCATTAAGCCTGGCGCATTTCTTCGCCGATATTAATCCCTGCAAGTTTAATGTTTACGAGGCCGCAGCCTAATTTCAATAGGCCCGGTCTAGGGGGAGATTGGACTCTTTTTGCCGAAGTTCGACTCGCAGAAAGTCGATCGATCATCCCCGCGAGCGGGGACTCCCCGACATTGGGGAGGGAAATAAAGGGAAACCAGGAGCGAGCTCCGAGGAAATTTCTGAGAAGACCTAGAAATTATAGAGCCGACCTGATGCGAAGTAGGAGTTTCTTCATTCCGCGTGAAAATTGAAAAGAAATTCGTCTCCTTTTATTACTTATAAGGTATGACACTAATAAGGGGTGGTTCAGATTATACGTTCTTTCTGGACATGGGGTGGTTCCCCCATATGACTGGAAACTTTCAGCTATTGAGGAGGGACTTCCTAAAACGGATTCGAGATTATGGGACTGATTTCGACGAGGAACTGGATTTAGTTGGCCTTCAGTGCCATATGAAAAAATGTTCCTTTTCAATTGATTAACTGATAGAGATGAGATATACTTTTCATAGGATCGTTACTTTTCGCCCCTGGTACAATTCCTGGCAAGATTGGAAATTTAGCACTTTCCGCGAAGTGATTTTTAAAAGACAAGATTATGATGGTAATTTACAATTTTTACGTCAGTTTTCAATTTACGATATAGTCATCCCTTTTCATCCGGCGCGGTACTCGAAGACGTGCCAAATTTTCACAACCCACCAGGACATTTATGAAAACAGCTTAAGGTTACAAGTTAATCCGACGAGAAACTAAATTTAGGAGGTTCAACACTAAAATTGCTGAGTTTTCATCCGTTGTCATTGAACAATAACGATAAGCAACGCTCCCGATCCACTTTTTCATGCCTAAGGTAGTTCTCGGCAAGATTGAGAATTTTCCCCTTTTAGAGGTAACTTTTGAAAGAAACAATCTTTCCGCGTGGAACTGTGAAAATCCTGTTATATTCCGTCAGTTTTCGCTTTACGGTGATAACGATAACGAGAGATAGCCTCGACCGGATAGTTGCTTTTTGCACCTGGAGCGGTTCCCGCAGGAGGGGGTCGTAGGAAACGAGGAAGGTTCCCTTAAACGCAGAGGGAGGATCCGTGCAACCCCCAAAGGAGGCAGGATTTCGTCGCGGGAAATAATTACCTAGGATCACCATGGACCCATGGGGGGTGTCGCGTGGGTAGCGCGCGTCCTACTACGCGAGATGCAAATAAGGGAAATAGGTATCAGGCCGAGCGTGGCAATCCCCTAGGCACTAAATTATAAAATAATCCCCTCCGGTTAATTCCTATCCGCGGTTTATTACCGCGCCTGATCCGCGCGGTAAAGACGGAATTCATAAAATCGGCACCGATTCCGTAGCCGCCCCCCGGCGCCAGAAAGCGCCCCCGAGGCGCGGCCTCGCAGCACCCAGGACGAACACGAAAACCGCATTATACTATTCAAATGGATCGAGAAGTTGACACTGTTGTTTCTGAGGGTGGCCTCGGGGTAGACGGGAGTACCTTAGAGCCCGATACGTGCGCACGCGTTGCGTACACGCCCGCTGGGCGCGTTCAAGGAACGACCAAATAGTGGAACTTGCGCGTTCCGGGGACCGTCCGATAGCTACGACTCTGGCTCTCGGAACCTCCACCCTCGACTCCGCAAATTTCGCATCTTCCAACCTTGGGAGGTTGAAATGAAATTTGACAATGAACATTGGATGACACGTCGAGGCCAAAACCCACTGGTACCGAAAATCCACGTCAAAGGACGAGGTATGAAAATGTTGGACCTGAGGTTAGGGCGATGTTAAAGTGGCGTCGAAGAAGTCTCCTTTATGAAACTTTTCCTCGAAATGGGTGTGCCGAATCGTTTGAAACGTTGCTACGGGAAAGTTTCATGAACGATTGACCCTCCGGATGCCACTTTCATATTCCCTTAAGTTAGAGGATGGAATACGGAAATGATTGTCGGGAAAT